TGCTAACAGGGATCACAACACAGGGTCCTGGACAGAGCTGGAGAAAAGTGTAGAACAAAATTCTAACTCACAAAAAAAGACCAGATTTACTGGCCTGACAGAGACTGGAGAAACCCCAAGAGTATGGCCCTGGCCACCCTTTTATCTCTGTAATGAAGTCACTTCCAAAGTTCACCCTTCAGCTAAAGATTAGACAGCCCCATAAAACAAAACAAGACTAATGGGGCACAACAGCCAGGGACAAGGACTAGAAGGCAGGAGGGGAAAGGAAAGCTGGTAATAGGGAACCCAAGGTCAGAAGGAAGAGTGTTGACATGTCGTGGGGTTGTTAACCAATGTCATAAACAACATGTGTATTAACTGTTTAATGAGAAACTATTTGCTCTGTAAACCTTCATCTAAAGTACAATTAAAAAAAAAAAAATATTGTAGCTGCTGATTGTCACCATAAAGAGGGCTCCCAATCTCTCTTTTTCATTAAGAAGGTATTGTGCCACCCCAGAGTTGCAACAGCGCCACTAAGAAGTGGAGGTTGTAGAAACATACCTGGAACTAATGAATAAAAGTTCAACGGAGGGAGATTTTTGGCTCAGGATAGAAACTGCTTACCAATAAAAATCATCCAACAATGGAATGGACTGCTGTGAAATACTCCCAAACACTTCTAAAGTTTTCTGACTAGGCAGGCGTACTCGAGCAGAGACTGACTAGTCACGGGTTAAACACAAGATCGGATATGCATTTTGAAAAGAGCACTCTATTTGTAATGTAGAAAAGGGCAAGAATGGATGCAAGGAGAGTAGTTAAGAAGTGATTATAGCGTAATAAGTGTATGAGATAGTGATAACTGGGAAGGTAGGAAAAGAGGGGAAGGAGATGAAGACAAGTAGATGAATTCAAGAGATATTTGGGAAGTGAAATCCATAGGGCTTGACAATCAACTGGATATGGGAGAGGTGGAGAGGGGGGTTATCAAGAATGACTCCTGGTTTTGGAAGGTAGAGCGCTGCAGTACTAGAAGAGAGTTAGGTCTGAGGTTGGCCGGAACTCACAAATTCAGTTTGAATCATACTGAGTTTGAAGTCCCTCTGAGATAGCCAAGAAGAGATGCCGACAGGAAGGTGAATATATGTGACTGGAGATCAGGACACATTTGGGCTAGAGATAGCAATCTGTGTCTCCTGCCTATGGGTTACCTAAGGAAAGCATATAACATGTGAAAAGCAGAGGACATATGACTGAGCCCTGGAACCAACCATTTAATAGCTTTGAGGCCCTGGAACCAACCATTTAACAGCTTTGAGGAGGATGATTATGCAAAAAAGACAAGAGAGGTAAAAAGGAAACCAGAAAGCAACAGGTCTTGGAAATCCACTGAAGAAAGCATCTGCTCTGCAAGAGGTCAAGTGAGAAGACAGAAAAACGTGTGCTGGATTTACTTACATTTAGTTAACCGTTGTCTGTTTGATGAATGATGGGGCCAGAAGCTAGAATGAAGTGGGTTTAAGAGCAAAAAGTGAAAGAATATAACCAATGTCACTGAACAATTTGTGTAGAAATTGTTGAATGGGAACCTAAACTGCTGTGTAAACTTTCACCGAAAACACAATAAAGTACTATTTAAAAAAAAAAAAAAAAGAGTGACATGAGAAACTAAAGATAACTCTTAACATGGAAGAGAGTGATAAGGCAACAACTGGAAGTTGGAGGGTCAAGTGGAAGAGACTAAAATAGGAGTATGTTTGAAAGCCAACAGGAAAAACTGTCAAGAGGAAGAGGATAATAATAACAGGTTCCTGAGAAAGCAAGAGGGGATGGGATCCAAAGCACAGGTGGAGGAAAGAAAGCTCTCTACATAAGACACAAGGACAGAGAGAGGATGGGTGCAAATACAACAATGTATGATTGTTATCAGCAAGATGAAGGAGTTCCTATTTGATGGCCTCTGTTATTTCTGTAAAACAGGAGATGAAGTCATATGTTGAGACAGAAGTGGTAGGGCAACTGATGTGACCTCAATAGCATTCTACGCAAATGGGTCTAATTTATCTCTGTTAGCATGCCACCTTTTCTCTTCTACTACGAATATCCCATATCCTATTACAATTATTAGTTGGCTGTCAACTCTAAGATTTCTGTACTTTTTTTAAGCTAACAAAGCTAAAGGTATGATGCTGCTACCACCCCTGCTCCAAGTGATTCTTCCATCTGCCATTTCTGCCTTTTGATCATCTGAATCTTTCATAAACCTGTCCCCTCCTCTGCATTTCTCATTAGATCTCATAAGGACCATTGAAATTAACAGCCTTTTGAGATCAGTCAGCGCCAATGTTGACAATATCACCATGTCACTGCCTGCCATAAACGACTATAGCTACACAGTAAATACTGCATCAAGCAAAAACTCTTCAGTGTATTATATAAGATCCAACACAACTTGCCACCCCATCCCATCTACCTTTCCAGTCTCGCTTCTCACTTCACTCTTCCATATTTCAGCCAGTTTGGAGTAAGTACAGTTTCTCAGAACACATGTTCTTCATATCAGCATGCTCAAGGGCCAAAACCATATGTTATTTATCTTTATAACTTTGACGTTTAAATTGCTGGCTGGCATACAATAGGTAATAAATGCCTGCTGACTGAATGAACAACCACTGTCATTACGGTGGCAGACCCTCATCATCTTCAGCACATTAATGAAACAGTTTCCAACAACAGACTAGATTTCAAGTAATCTCACCTAATGCAAATCTCTCCTAATGCAAATCCGATATTCTCTAATTCTATCTAATTACAAAAATGTGTTGGATAAGACACAAATGTAGAAATATAACCTAGACAGCTGCACATAAGCTCTCCACCCATCCTTTCAGCCAAGGAACTATAACTTAAAAATTCTCTTCGAAGGAAACACAAATTGCAAATAACCTTTATCTCCAGGTCCCACCTAGAAAATCAATAATATTTTACATAGAACAGCTGTTCTGTGTATTTTTTTCTACATATGGAGTAGTCACTTTATTAGTACTACAAATTGCATGGTGTATTCAGAGGTTTAAGGGACAGGAAAACACATGGCTTTGCTGGCATTCCAGCCACTCTTTCAGCTGGCTCCCTCTCCTATCTCTAAGTTCTCTTTTAGAATTAATATTTTGTGATTTCTACTTCCTGAAGCTGCATTTACCAAAGGCATTTTGTCATGTCATAGTGAGAAAGGAAATGGGGCTAGAGTCAAAAAGATGCTAGTGCTGGGACCAAAGGAAGTCTGATGAAGTCAAGAGATGGACAAGTTAAGATATTTCTGTACTTCTGGATTCTTAAAGTCAGAACAATGTTCCTGATCTCTGTGTGTGCCCTTTCTCCTTCCAATGCACCTCTCCCAATAACGGGTCCTTAGTTCGTTCTTTCTACCTTTGCTTCAGGGTACCTCTTAGTCAGAGAGTGGAAAAAAGAGGTTCTGAACCAGAGTCCACTCAACACCCTCTTTTGGACATTGTACTCCAGTTACACTTCTACTACAGTGGTTTAGCAAGAACATCAAAGACAAGAGTACATTATTCCTAGCTCTAGATGATTCTCACATATTAAAAATGTTATGGCCACACCAGAGAGGATCCAGATATAAATGCCTTTTTAAAACCAGAGTTTTGGAGATGTGCTCTGAATGCAAATACAACAAAGAGATAGACTGATCAGCCTAGAGAATGAAAAAAATTTTTTTGACTTAAAAAATCATTTTAAAAAAAGATAAATTCATTTGTTCAAAATTTTAGATACTACTATGAACCAAAACTTTTAAATTTTCACAATAAAACTAGCTATTAAGTGGTGTCAAAAATCCCAATCCTTAGATTTTGGATGGCTTAAATGCAGACTCAGAAGGATACACCAAATAAGTAGCCAAAGTTCCTCCTACCTCTGATTCAAATCCTGGACATTGCCAAGGCTGTACCTGATGAACCTTTATCAGTAAAATGTTTCCAGTTTACATTTATTTTCTGTAAGTTTGTGTCCTACAGTTATCTGCAGGCCAACTTCAGGTTCACTTTATAAAGAGAGGTAGGGCAACTTGAGGAAAGCAGAAAGTTTTGCTTTGTTGAACTGCAACAAAATCCGTATGTATATTTGAATCTTTCAAATATCTAGTTCTAGAGGTTTAAAATGAATGTTAAAGCTTTAGATTAAGTGCCTTTTTTTCCGACCCATCCCTAGGGTTGGTACACAGTTTCAGAGATTCGTTTAAGTAATTCTTACTGAGCTCCTACGTGCAAGGCAGTGATCAAACAAGATTCTGCCTGATAAGAGGACTGGCAATCTGACTACACTGCATAGTGACAGGGTTGGGTATATACCAAGGATTTTAACACTTAGCTCAAAACCACTTGCCCAGAACCTTCACGCCTTTTCACCCAATATGCAAGATTTCACAGAAGTGCTTTCTCGGGGCCACATCTGTCAAACCTGAGGCCAAGGATCTGGCCAAGAGATTAACTGCGAAGTGCAGAGAGGTCCCCACCAAGGCCCCGTCACATGGCAGGTCCCGGGTCCCACCCTGGCAGACACTGGGAGGGGGCGTGCGCGGCACAGGACGGCGGCAGGAGCAGAAGCCCCGGGAGAGGGCCCAAAGGTCACAGGAGGGCAACCCAGGGAGCCCCAACGCGCACCTTCATGAACTCATCCTTGTCGAAGCAGAGCGTGTCAGGACCCTTGGGCAGGTTCATCCTACTTTTCTCCATCCCGCCGGCCGCTGCCTCTCAGCGCCGAGACACAGGCGAAGCGAAGGAGCAGAAGGCCACGTACACAGACGCGGCGGCCGCGGCCACGGCCAGCTTCCACAGTCCAAGAGGCAACGCTTCCGCCAACATGGCAGCGCCCGCGACGCAGCCAACGAGCGAGGGCGAGGGGCGGGGCCTCCTCTGGGCGTGGCCAAGAGGGGCCCTGGGCCTCCGTCGTTTGGCCCAGCGGAGCTTTGCTGCCTCTATGCGGCGGGAGGTGGCACTGCTGCCTGCGCAGGGAAATCGGCAAGAGGACGTGGCTGACGGGCAGGTAGGGGGCTCCTCCCGCCACACCATTCCCGCTGGGAAAAGATACGCGTGCGGTGCTGTCTCAGGGTTTTTCCCCGGAGATACTCCCTTTTTGTTATGCCCAAAGAAGTAGTCATGGATGAATGCTGCCCCTTTGGTTCTCAGGCCTCTGTTCCACTTTTCGGCCCATCATCTTCTTTTTCTTCCTCATAGCACCGTGCATAGTCACTTCTGCCGCCCGCCCGGGCACTGAAGCTCCGTGGGAGACGCCCAGGGCCTGCGCCCTTAGCCTCAGCTCCCAGAGGCTCGTTGTAGCCTCTCCTCCCGTGGGCTCAGTTACAGGGAAGTTACAGGAGCAGGATTTGGACAGCCCCGGACGCTCTGGGCAGTTCCCTGGTCAACTTGAGGCTCAGTTCTAGTTGGCCAGCCAACTTTGGGCATTCACCGTTTTTAAAGACAAAACAAAGCAGATACATATATGTGTGTATATTTTTAATTCGAAACCAGGAATGGGACAATTTTTGTGTTTTTGGCTATTATTGGTGCAATCATTCCTATTTCTCAGACTTTCTTCTTAATTTCTCCACCCCAATTTTATTCTGAGTTTTCCTTTCTTTTTCTCTTCCCTTGCTTTATCTCCTTTTTGTCCCTTTCTCTAACGGTGAATTCCATGGTCAAATGATGATGACACATTTCTCTCTTTTTCTCCTTGAGACTCTGGCAACTCAAACCACAAACCTCACTTCACACTCTTCACCTTTGGAGTCTTCCTTTCCTATAGCTTTGCTTTTATAAACTTCTAGGCTGCTGCTCTCAATGCCGTTTTCTCATTTTCTCGCTGGAGATAACATTAGCCCCATGATACTCCTTAAAAAGAAGTGAGGCAGAGGATGGTAATGCCTTAACATGATACCTATTTAACATGAGACACCTGTGTTTAAAACCAAAAACCAAACCCCATTGCCGTCAAGCCTGACTCATAGCAACCCCATACAACAGAGTAGACCTGCCCCATAGGGTTCCCAAGGTTATAAATCTTTAAGAAAGCAGACTCCACATCTTTTTCCCACAGAGTGGCTGGTGGTTTGAACCACCAACATTCTGGTTAGCAGCAGAACTGTAAACCACTGCGCCACTAGGGCTCCTGCCTGTGTTTCAGGTTACCCCAAAAAGGAAACTGGTCACTTTTTAATGGATATAGAATCCAAAACAATACAGTCGCTAGCACTGGGCCTGGCAAGCCTTATTAAAGAGAATATTCCCCACTTCTGTCTAGAAAAGGTGATGGGCCAGGGACTGGGCTGCTGATTGGAGCTATAGACTGTGGTGGTGGTGCAGTCCACCAAAGCCAGAAGCAGTAGGAGAGACCCCAAATGCTAGCAGATAACCCTGGTGGGGACAAAGGCAAGAGGCTCTCTGGTTAATTTTATGTGTCAACTCGGCTAGGCTGTGGTGCCCAGTTGTTTGGTCAAACACTAGTCTAGTTGCTGTTAAGAAATAGTTGCATATAATTAAATCAGTTGGTCTTAAGTGAAGCAGATTAGTCTCCATAATGTGGGTGGGCTTCAGCCAATCAGTTGAAGGCCTTAACAGCAAAAAGAGAGTTTTCCCTAGGATATGTTCTGCCTCCAGACTATAAATAGACTTTTTGCCAGAACTTTTTTAACTCTTCCCATTGCCTGACCTGCAAGAATTTCCAGCCCATCACCTGACCTATGGATTTTAAACTTGCCAGCCCCCACAATCATATGAGCCAACTACTGAAAATAAATCAATCACTATCTATGTGTCTATCTACCTATCACTGGTTCTGTTTTCTAGAGAAGCCTGACTAAGAGAGTAAACCTTCCTGTGACCTTTCCACCCCCAGAGGACACTTCTCTGGGTTTTCATCCAGAGCTAATGTTCAACTGGTACACACCATTTCAGCCATGCTACTTGTTAAATATTACAACACCTCCATAGTAGTGGGTGAATGGCCTCTGTCCAGAGCAGGCTCAGTGCTCCCCTGATGCCCTCACCCCTTCCCCGAGACCTCTGTCCCAGCCTCCTGATCCAGCTGGTAAGGATAATGCCTGGCTCAGCTGGGGTCCTCCAGCCACCTTTTGACTGGCTAGGCCTGTGCTGTTAATATTTGTCTATTGTTAAACACTTGAATATTGGCTCTGGTAATGATACCTATTTCACTGGATTTGGGAAAAGATTAAATTAGAAAGTGGATATAAAGTACCTAGTCAGTGCAAAACATAATAAAACCCCCAAAAAACCAAACACATTGCCATTGAGTCGATTCCAACTCATAGCAACCCTATAGGACAGAGTAGAACTGCCCCATAGAGTTTCCAAGGCTGTAAATCTCTACGGAAGCAGACTGCCACATCTTTCTCCTGCAGAACGGCTGGTGGGTTCAAACTGCCATCCTTTCAGTTAGCAGCTGAGCACTTTAACCACTGCACCACCAGGGCTCCTCAAGACATAAAGAGTCCCTATGTACTAATTTTCTTTCCCTTTCCCTAATCTCTACCTTTCTTAAGAATGAGACTTTAACAACTTTTCTGTCTTTTCATGTCTCTCTCATATTCTCTAATTTTATTTTTCTTGTCTTCATTTTTTATAAAGCATGTGCCTGCTACTTTATTCCTAAGTAAATATTAACCCCCCTTTTACTTTGCATCTCTGGAAAATTCTTGGTTCCCTATTTTCAGTGGCATTGTGACAGGCCCCTTTCTTTCTTCCCACTCTCACCTATTTATAGTTTTCACACTTTTAGTAGGTTTGCTAAAGAACATTCAAAAATTGCAGAGAGAAATATCATGCTCAGGAAATTTCATGTAGGCATTTTCCCCAGTAATGATCACTATATTCTCACTCTGATTTTCTCCTGAATTATGCTATTAAAGCAGCTGAATCTTCCAATGGCCACCAAAGCTGCCCTATTCCCCACGCAGGACAGGGGGCTTTCTGTTTTTAAATGAATCATGCGCTTGACTTAGGGCTAAGTGTATGAGAATGCATGTGAGGGCAGGATGGACTGTCATCAGGACCTCCCTTTGGCTTGGAAAGCTCATAAAAATGAACTGTCAAAGAGAAAAATTAATAACAAACATCTTAATTTGATTTTAAGTGTTTTTCTTACCCACGAAACCGAATATTAACCGTAAAAATTCCCGACACAAAGTGAATCCTGCCTGCAGCTTTGCTGACCCGTTTTTTTTCACCCATAGTTGCTAATCGATTTTCTTTTCTATTTGAAGAGTATTCAGTAGCAAAATTATTAGCAACCAGGGCAGGGACCACCTAGTAATCTGGTATCCGTTTGTCTCAGTAAAAGGAGAAGGACAGGGTTCCATCAGTCATCTTAAGATTAGCCAATGGTTGGTCTTCTATTCTTCTCCCTGTTCTCTTATAAGCTTCATTGTAACTAGCCTACTTGGAACCTTTTGCTTTGCTTTTAGTGATCCCTACATGCATACAGAGCATATAGAATAGAGTCCGCGGAGGATACGTTCTAAGACCCCGGTTGATGCCTGAAACGGTGGATAGTACTGAATTCTATAATACACTGTGTTTTGTCCTATACATACATACCTATGATGAAGTTTAATTTATAAATTAGGCACAGTAAGAGATTAACAACAATAACTAATAATAAAATAGAACAATTACAACAATATACTGTAATAAAAGTTACATGAATGTGGTCCCTGGGCCGGATGGAGCAGGACAGCTTGAGATTTCATTTAACATTTTCAGACTGTAACTGAAACCACGGGAAACAAAACCACGGATGGGGGC